ACAACTGCTTTAATCTTTTTACAACTACTTTAATCACTTAAAATTTTTATAATGGAGGGAAAAGTTCTGCAGCTGGCAAACCTCTATCACTCTCCTTGTAAAACTGTATTTTTCCTTGTCTGCAATGTGCAACCCCATTAGAGCAACTCATTATTGCAACCATTTCCTGGCATTCCAAAGGAAAAATACCATAAACCGGGTTTATATATTTTATTATTATTTTCAGGAGATAATCAGAATTCCAGCCAAACTTTGGGGAAGTAGCCTCTTTTAAAATCAAATTTATAAGTACCTAAATGATATTAACCCCAGCAGCCTCCTTCACCACTGAGCAAATTGACTTTCTGCAGGACTACAGCAGCAAAAATTTAGTGTAACACAGGGGTGAATCAATGTAATTTTTGGCCACGTGAACAGGAAGACAAAATTCCACCCCAATGAACAATCTCACCAAGAAAATCCGTCAAAATTTCCACTGTGCCAAACTACCTTCATCTCCTCTGCATCCTGGAGTCGTGTCAGGTGCTCCTTCTCCTTGTCCTTGAAGCTGACTTCGTGCATTTTTTCTGTTTAAAGGTGGAGACAGTTATAATTTAAATTTTAGTTTTTCAAATTAATTTAATTTTTTTCCAGGAGATGGAATTAAGATTCTGTTCTAACAATGCAGGAGATGATAAAAAAAAAATTTAAAAATCAATAAAAAGCCTTGTCCCCACCCGCTGCTCCCTCAGAGAGGGAAAATCCCTTGTGCAGAATAATTTTTAAGGCTGTAAGGTTATAAATTGATATAACCCAGGAGCTTAGCAAAGCTACAAGAACTTCTTTTGATACCTACACATTTTCCACATTAAATTGGAAGGGGAAAACCAAGCAAACCTTAAAAATGAAGTCAGCTGGGAAAGACACAACTTGTGCACATCTGAGGGCAGCAGTTTGTTTGGAATGAGGCAGGGGGACTAGTGAAAGTTCAATAAATCCTTATTTTACACAAATCCAGAATTTTACAGATTTTTCAGCAAGACTGATTGGTGCTGTTTGGTAAAGGATCTGTGTGGGGGTTTTTATAATTTTTTCCCATCACCAAGACACAAAGCTGAGTGCCCCGAGGCAGAAAGGAGACCCAGAGCTGTACCTTGAGCACGCAGCTTGGCCAGCTCCTCGTTGAGGGAGTCCTGGGACTCCTCCAGCTGCCTCCTCTTCTGCTCCATGTTCTGCATGTAGTCTGTCAGGGATTTGATCTTTGCTTCGTGCTGCAAAGGCAAGGAACAGCAGTGAGATTGGGAGAGCTCAGGGAAAACTGACCCTCCTAAAGGAGAGGGAATTTCCACATCCAGAGGTGATGACTGGGAGAAGTCCCAGCAAAATGGCTGGGAAGAGATCAAAGATCAAAGCAGGCTGTGTTTTTGAGAGGTCTCGCTTAGTAGCCCAATTTGGAACTCAGGCAGTGATCCCAAAACATCCCTGGGAGCTCCTGACTTGGTGTTAAACCAACAGCAGCAGCTTTTTAAAAGCACCAGCCTCGAGGTGGCTTTGGGATCTCCAACCTGCAGAAGCTCACATGGACTCTCCCCAGCCATCCTGGTGGTTTGGTTCTGGCCAACAACATTCTGAACTAGAAGGGCTTATGGGTAAATAGAAAACAGCAAAGTTTGTAGTGAAAACACTCCAAAGGTTTGACATACAACAATTTTGACTCATTTTCTTGCAAAAAGTACCACATGAAAACCCAGGGCTTGGCCACACACAACACTGATTTTACAGCAATCCTTTCTTATTTCCCCTGTTTATTCACCCAGGAAATACTTGCACAACTCTACCTGTGACCGATAGACTGGATTCTATTTGAGGATAAAAATTAAGATACTGTCTGGATCATTGCATGTAAATTAAAAAGATTGAGTAGAACTTAACAGAGACACTCTGCTGAAGGAAAAGGGGCTCTCCCTGCTCCATGTTTGCTTAGGGTAACTGCTAGAGAATGAAATTGGATCATGTCTTTCCCTTCCCTTGTCCCCTTCCATGCATGAGAGGGTATCAGAGCTCTCAGCCCCTTTCCACAGCCATCCCTGTCACCCACTCAGAACCTCCTACCCCCTGGATTTCTATCCCAGAAAGTTTTCCATGGTAATTTGTAGCTCACTGCCTCGTTTTCTCAGCAGCACACCCACAGAGCAGGTCCAAGGAGCTCCCCAAAGGTCTGGCTTGTGAAAAACACAGTCAGTGATCTCTTAAAGTGATCCAAGATACAAATTACAGGAGCACAGGATGAACCAGGTTGGAAAAGACCTTCGAGATCAACAAATTCCTGGTGAGGAAACCACTCCAGGGAGGAATGCCAGTGCTATTCCACCAAACACATTTGAAGACCTCCAGCAGGACATGACCTTGCCAGAGCTCAGGATGAAACCTCAGGATGGGCTGAAAAACACTGAGGGGGAGTGTCCTGGGGTGACTTCATGTATCCCCATTTGTCTGTTTAGCCCAGAAATAAGTTTTGCACTTTAAGATTGGTTCTGAGAGCAAAGGGGGAGAGAAGAAGTGCAGAGTTTGTTTCCAGAAGCTGCACTCGCTCCTCCACATTCCTGTGTTGTCTGTGGATGGACACACAGCGGGACAGAGCTCTCCTTTGCTTTTTGTTAATTTTTAGCTAGCTGAGGCAGAGAAGTTCTCTGGACTGTGGTTTTTCTTTTTCTTAGAACTGTTTAAACCAGCTCTGGACTGAAGAGCACCAGCAGCTCACACCTGTGGCATTTCCTAATAAGGGACTGAGTGAGCCGAGCTACAGCCCACCAAGGGGACACTCTGACTTTGTCATCTCTTCTGCAGTGGCAAGAGGTTTTATTGTTTAATATTGTTCATTTTTTTGTCCCGGTGAACGCTTTGCCTGTTAAATAAACAGATTTTTTCCACTTTTCTCCAGGGAAATCTTTTCCTGAACCACTTGAGGGAGGGGCTGCTTAAATCTGCTTTCTAGAGGAAACTCTTTGGAGGTTTTCTCCCATATTTGCCCTAAACCAGGACAGGGAGGTGTGGAAAGAGGTCTCACAGCAACTTCTGTGAGCCAGAGAGAAGTTTGACAAGAGGATCCATGTTTACCCCTGAAAGAATTTTCTACCAAGGTCACTGACATAGAAACCAAGAAAGAAAGAAGGATAAATAAGAGAAACCTGCAGCTGCCTGTTCCACTTTGCTTGTTTCTCATGACAAATTTAGGAGGTTTGTAAGAATGTGTAAAAGGCATGCATGCTATAATAAAAACAGTTTTGAAGCCTGTCACCCTGTTCTTTTAAAAGTTTTAAAGTTCTTCTAGAATTTTTCTATACCTTCTGATGTTTACATATTTCTACTAAAGTTTCTCACACTGTTCATGTAAATAATGATTTTTTTGCAGTCTTCTTTGTGAGAAGAGAGAATTGACAGACTGTTAGTTTGATTGGAGAGGTGGCAATTTAATCCTCCAATCCACTGCCACTTTTAGAATTCTATATGTTGCGAAGTCAGGAATAAACTTCCTCTCTTTTCCCTCTTACACCTAGGTGTGACCGTGTGAGTTATTGAGTGTTGCAGTGCGACAGAAGCCTTCTGAAAATGGAGTGTGCTGCTTTGGATTGTCTCCATCTCAACCACGACAGGGAGGAAAGAGAGAAGAGAGGGCAGACAACAAAATGCCCACAAGACAACAAAACGCCCACGAGACAAAAAAACACCCACGAGACAAAACGCCCACAAGACAACAAAACACCCACGAGACAACAAAACGACCACAAGACAACAAAATGCCCAAGAGACAACAAAACACCCACGAGACAAAACGCCCACGAGACAACAACCAACAAAACACCCAAGAGACAAAAAAACACCCACGAGACAACACAACACCCAAGAGACAACAAAACGCCCACGAAACAACAAAATGCCCATGAGACAACAAAAACTCCCAAGAGACAAAAAAACACCCATGAGACAACACAACACCCAAGAGACAACAAAAACGCCCACGAGACAACAAAAACGCCCAAGAGACAACAAAACACCCACAAGTCAACACAACAACCAACAAAACACCCAAGAGACAAAAAAACACCCACGAGACAACACAACACCCACGAGACAAAACGCCCACAAGACAACAAAACACCCAAGAGACAACAAAACACCCACGAGACAACACAACACCCAAGAGACAAGAAAACGCCCAAGAGACAAGAAAACGCCCATGAAACAAGAAAATGCCCACGAGACAACACAACACCCAAGAGACAAGAAAACACCCAAGAGACAAGAAAATGCCCATGAGACAACGCAATACCCACAAGCCAACAAAACACCCACGAGACAACCCTGCTCTGCTCCACAAGGCCCATTTCTCACTCCTGGCACACGCATTCCATGGGGAAGGAGGCTGGGAGGGCCACCAAAGCCTGGAGAAGGCAGGAGCAGACCCACCTGGGAGATGAGGAGGTTGGGAGGGCCCCCAAAGCCTGGAGAAGGCAGGAGCAGACCCACCTGGGAGATGAGGAGCTGGCAGGCCGCCAGCTCCCTCTCGCTGGCGTTCATCTTCCTGTTGGAGTCCATCTGGGCGCTCTCCAGCTGCTTGCTCCGGTTCACCAGGGACTTCACCTCCGACTTCATCTTGCTGATGTAGAGCCTGGCCATGGTGAACTCCTCCTCGATCACCCCGTTCACATCTGCCAACTGAGCACACAGGGACGGCCAGGGCTTGCACCCAGGGCTTCTCCCGCTCTGGGAACCAGCCTGGAGGATGGGTCTGGGGTTTGGGATGGGTTTATAGGCCAGGGGTCATTTTAGAGAAGAGAGTTTGGAGCAGGGGAGAAGAGTGTGAATTATTTCTGGAAACTTAAAACTTGTATTTGGAGAACAAAAAAAATCAGAATTCGAATCTTTTCACAAAGCAAAGAGTGCTTATTATATTAATGAGAAATCTTCCTTCAGAACTTTTGGGTTGATTTGTCCTTTTATCTTGTATATTCTATTTTATAATATTTCACATTTGTGTGAAGGAATATCACATCCAGGTATTAGGCTGGAGATCAGGGAAAGGCTCTTCCCCCAGAGGGTGCTGGCACTGCCCAGGCTCCCCAGGGAATGGGCACATTCCCAAAGCTGCCAGAGCTCCAGGAGCATTTGGACACTGCTCCAGGAGTGCCCAGAGTGGGATTTTGGGGTGTGTGTGCAGGGCCAGGAGCTGGATCCATGATCCTGTGGGTCCCTTCCAGCTCAGGAGATTCCACTGAGGAGCTGTGCAGGTTCTCCCTGAGCAGTATCACAGCTCAACTTCATCTGCTTCCCCTTTTTTCCCAGCACTGCCAAGGGGAAAGGAACATATGCTGCTGCTTCTCCCAAAAATATTTTAAAAAATGACACTTCTTCCAAAATTTTCAGTCTGCTCTGAGATTAGACACACTTGGAGAAGATGCTAATTGCCAACAAATCTGAAATTATTCTCTCACCGCTCCTCAGCCTGGCCTGATTTCCACTGACAGCTGTCCCCTGAAGTGCTGACATCTCAGTTCCTACAAAAACTTGCACCAAAGTGCCTCCATTTGCACAGATTTCCTCTCCCAGTGCCAGCTCCTACGGCCACCAGAGGCTGCTGTGACATCTCCCAAGGCTGGGATCTGCAGCACCACAGGGACAGCAGGACTTGTGTCCTCTGCAGCAGGACAGGCTGGAGCTCCTGCTGGCCTGAGAGAGCCTTGGCAGGACCCCAGCAAAAAGTGAACTAAAAGTAGCAGCAATGTATTGCAAGGAATTTTCATACATCTCAAAAATGGACTCAGCCACTTTCAGCCACAGCTATTTTTCATGTGGTTTTAAATAGACAAGGATGGCATTAACACCACCAAGGAGATTTTCCAGGCCATGGAAAGTTTCTATCGCTGCCATTTAGCAATGAGCATACAAATATTTTCTCAGAAATTGCATTTCATTCCTCTACAAATGCAACAAAGCAAGCAGACACCTCCTCTACTGTATCCCCAAACCACACAGAGCCACACAAAGGCAAACCACAAAGCAGGGCTGACCAAAATGTGCACCAAACTTCAGATAAAAAATTGGCCACTTCAGAAGCCAATATTTTCATATTCTGGGAATTCTGAGTAATGCCAGCTAGGGAAGGAGTTGGGCTACGTGTGTATTGTTTTGGGGGGAATTCAGACCTTCCATTAATCAGTTCAGTGACTCCCAGATGGGCTCTGGCCCCAAAAACTGAGCTGGGAATAACTGTGGGCACTGTGAGAAGCTGAGCCTCTCCTGATGCCTCAGGTTTGAGCTTTTATATGTTTCAGACTCTCTGCTGCTTTAGTGTGTAAGTTTAAGCTTCATATTAGGGGATAGTAAGCTCTTTTCAGAGCAGGGAGGCAAAACAATTCCTGCTCCAGCTGGGCACCAAGGACAAATGATCCAAATCTCAGCCCAGGAGCACAAACACCGTTGGCTGGAGAGAGAAAAACAAGCAGGGTGGGACTGCCTGGGCTAAAGCTGGAATGGGACAATGAACTCCAAGGTGCCAATGGAGCAGAACTGATCATTTTGTGACCAATCATCCATTTTTTGGGACCATTTTGGTTCATTTGGGCACAGCCCGGGCTGGGCTCTGGTGCTGCCCAAGGTGGATCCATGGAGGAGATAAATTTAATAAATCCTTTGAATAAATCCCTGCTTTATTCTGTGGCTCTGTCCAGCCTCTGCTCTGGGGCAGCTTCTCAAGGCATCACTCCCAGCCAGACAAAGAGCTCTGCAGTGTCCTCCTGTGTGCTCAGCCAGGACTTACACAGAGTGCCCTGGGATAAGGATTGCTGGATCCACACATTCCACACCTGTGATGCTCCCAGGGCGGGAGCCAGGCTGGGAGAGCCCTGGGAATGTTCCCCTGGAGAAGGGAAGGATCCAGGCAGAGCTCAGAGCCCCGGGAATGTTCCCCTGGAGAAGGGAAGGATCCAGGCAGAGCTCAGAGCCCTGGGAATGTTCCCCTGGAGAAGGGAAGGATCCAGGCAGAGCTCAGAGCCCCGGGAATGTTCCCCTGGAGAAGGGAAGGATCCAGGCAGAGCTCAGAGCCCCGGGAATGTTCCCCTGGAGAAGGGAAGGATCCAGGCAGAGCTCAGAGCCCCTGGCAGGGCCTGAAGGGCTCCAGGAGAGCTGGAGAGGGACTGGGGACAAGGGATGGAGGGACAGGAGCCAGGGAATGGCTCCCAGTGCCAGAGGGCAGGGATGGGTGGGATGTTGGGAATTGGGAATTCCTGGCTGGGCTGGAATTCCCAGAACAGCTGTGGCTGCCCCTGGATCCCTGGAGGTGCCCAAGGCCAGGTTGGAATAACCTGGGACAGTGGGAGGTGTCCGTGCCCCTGGCAGGGGATTTGGAGCCAGCAGAGCTTTAAACCCCTTCCAAGGCAAAGGCCTGTGGGATTCCCAGCTTTGCTGGAGTGTTTTCCTGCAGGAGGAGCTGGGGAAAGCACAGAGCACAAAGCCCACGCACAGTTTTCACGTCGTTGGTGCCGATGATTCCCCCGATCTCCCCCAGGTCCTTCAGCAGCAGGTTCAGGATTTCTGTGGCTCTCTTCTTCTGGTGGTTGCTGAGCTCCTGCAACTGGCCCAGCTCCCTCTGGGTCGCTGTCAGGGCACTCTGGAAGGGGTTAAAAACAAGAATTACCCTCCCCCCTGCAGGCTGGGCAGTTTTCATGGGGTGTTTTCCTAATGCCCGCTGGCACAATGTAGTGACACATCCAGTTCCACCTTGGCATAATCCACTTTCACAACTCACTTGCCACCAAAGGCTACTTTAGATCTATTAAATGTAGCAAATCCGCTAAGAATCTGATTTGCATAATACATCAAAGGAGGTTAATCACAGAGAAATAGGTAGAGAGGGATGGAAAATTCAATTTTTTCCAATGGATTTCGTGGTAATCTGGTTTACTGGGGGAGATAACAAAGTCTTTAATGAAACAGATCTGTTAACAACAGCTCCTTAAGTTGTGTAATGAATTAAGGGAAAAGGATGCTTTAAGCTACTAAACCAATCTTGATTTTCCTCAGATCCCATTTTTTGCTTAAGATCAGGACACATCAGCTGAAAAAGCCGATTAATTTTTTTTTCCTGATCCCTTCCTTGAGATCCCTGTACAATCCCAGCTCCACAGCACAGAGTCCAGAAAACCACAACACGCTGCCATTTGCACGAGGCAGATTTTCACAGCTCTCTTGGCAAAACACAGCTTTTAAATATCCAAAACACAGGATGGCCACTTCTCAGATGCAGTCCCTTGCTGCAAGAGCCACAATCTGCCACCAACTTCCAAAAAGCAGCTCCTGAATTCCCTTAATTCCCTTGTTTAATTAAGACAGGGTGACACCAGCAGGTTTTTGGGAAGCCCTTTGGGAATGTTTAGGATGCAAGGGGAGAACCAAGAGGATGAACCAAGCTGCTCTTACACTTTTCTGTGCCAGCTCATCTGCCAGCTGCTCGTTGGTCCTGGTTTTGTCCTCCACTTCCTGGGATTTCTGGTCATAGTTGACAGCCAGCTCTTCCAGGGCTTGCAGCACCTCCTTCACTTCATCCTTGGCTGCCTCGTTCTCCATCTGGAGTCGGGTCAGCTCCTCCTGGATCTTCTCATAATCCCTCCTCGTGGAGGCCAAGAGCTGGGGAGGAATAGCACAGCAGCATTAAGTGACCCAAAAACTCCTTCAAAAGACAATACTGAAAAGGAGAAATACAGGCAAAGAAGTGGGGGAAAGGGTGAACACAAATGGTGTGTGCAGGAGGGGAGAAATCCTGAAAACTGCAGCAGTTCCAGCATAAAAGCATTTGAAGGAAGCACAAAAAAAAAAAAAAGCTCTGAGCTTCAACAAGAAAAATCTTCATCAAATCCTATTATGACCCAAGACTGAGGCAGAGAAACTGACTTTAAACAGTATCAGAGCTCCAAGGACATTTTCTGCCCTCAATCCAGCGCTGCAGCACAGACCAAAAAAAAATCCCACAAAGTAAAATGTTCCAGCAGAGGCTCAGGGCTCTGAGCTGAGCTGAGGGAAAAGGGCTTTGAGGCAGCCTCAAAGACCTCGTGGCTTCACAGAAATATTTTGATAAGCAAACCTAAGACGATTATTCTCAGTTATCATCTGAAGGATGATGCTGAGGACAGATTAGCTGCTCCTGTTTGCTGAGGGAAAATATTAATCTCAGAAGAAAATACTGACTTCACACACACACACACACTTGAGTGAGTGTTTCCAAGCTGGAAAAGTTATTAAATTGACTCTTTGCACACTGCTGAGGTTTCAGTGATTGTGGGAGGTCGCTGTCCCTTGCCCTGGAAGCGATGCTCAGTGAGATGTTAGAGCTTTGAAAATTCAGCTGTGGTGTCCTCAGCACAACCCCAGCCCCACCAGCAGCCCTGCACTTCAGGATGATGTGAAAATAAATCCAAGTGACACCTAACATTTATTGCTAATACTGCACTTTCAACAAGAATAAGAAAATCAGGGCTTGACATGGCATAAAAACAGCAAATAGGGAATTACAATAGCTGAAACCAGTGCAGGAGATGTGGGAGCATTCATTCACAGAATTCACTGCTTCCCAAGAAATTTGGATTATGGATTGACATAATATCAGATAAAACCTTCCCTGCTGAAGTGTTTTGGGTGGATTTCTCCTGATCTGCCCACCAAGCAGCTGAGTGAGACTCCCAGCAAAAAAACAAACCTCACTTCTCTCAAGCAGACCACCCAAAAAGCAGAATGTCCCTGAAGAAATGGCTTTTTTTTTTTTTTTTTTTTGGCTCAGAGTGCTGGTGGAAAATAGGAAAGGAGGCAGGCAGCTCTGGAGGCTGGCACGTGCCCAGAGAGGATTCAGATGTAAGGGAAATTTATCTCCCTGGAAATGCTGCAGCCTCAGAAGTGCACTCACGTTATGGAAAAAGCCATTGGATTGCCAGAGCCAGATGGCATGTAAATATTTAAACAACAAAATAGCTTCAAATCATCTTCCTGCTAAACACAGATGGAGCTGTTATTTACATTTACTTAAGAAATTTTCTGCCTGAACATCGCCGTGGCTTCGAGGAGTGGTGAGCATCACCTGCAGCATAAACAAGGAGATGCTGGCTGATATTGTGTGGAAAAATGGAGCAGGCTTTTCAAAATCCACCAAAAAAACCCAAAAAAAAAACATTATAAAGGTGAGCTGTAAGAAAGGGAAAAGGCCCACGGCTGCAGCTCTCCAGGGGTCTGTTCTGGAATATCCAGAATCCCCCAAAACACCCACCTGAAGCAGCAGCCAGAGATGAAAAGGCACCAAAAACCCCCCCAAAATCAGCCTCATCTGCAGCAGGCCTCGGGTTTATAATTAACCTGCTGGCTTAATCAAGCAGAAATAAGGGCTGGTTAATTAGGGGGAGCAGAGTGAGGCAGCTGCTGCTGGATCAGTGAGCTCATCACACCTCCAGGGGAGAGCAGCTGATGTGGGGAAAAACACCTGGAAAAATAAAATATCACCTTCTCCTTCCAAGGCTGGACAAAGCTGGGGTGAGGCAGGAAAAGGCTCTGAACAGCACCAGCTGCAGAGAGTTTGGAATTTAGCAAAGCTGGACCAATAATGTCCAAAAAAAAGGGGGGAAATGGACACTGAAAACGTGATTGATCTTCCGGAGGTGACACTGGAACAGGGAGGGTGGGGAATAATTCTGCTCCCAAACAGGGGGATGCACATCACCCCAAAACTCAGGCAATAACAGGCTGAGCAGGCAATATTATTACTATTACTATTATTATTATTATTATTATTATTATTATTATTATTATTATTGTTGTTGTTGTTGTTGTTGTTGTTGTTATTGTTATTATTATATTTAATTAATTGTTCTTATTATTCTGGTGTAACCACAGGCAACAATGTGCAGTGCAGGGCAATCAAATCAAGCTGTGGTAAGAGAATGAGGAGTTCCATCTTAGAAATAAAATAAAATAATATAAAAATAAAAATAAAATAAAATAAAATAAAATAAAATAAAATAAAATAAAATAAAATAAAATAAAATAAAATAAAATAAAATAAAATAAAATAACTGGAGATTCCCCTAGCCAGGACAATTCCCCAAAGAGGGCAGGTGAACCCTGAGTGATGAATACCAGACATGATCATAAATTGGTTTTTTTTCCCTAATAACACCTTGGAAACCCTTTCTGATACACAATACAATACAATTCTGATACACAAAACCCTTTCTGGATACACAGTAAAAAGCAGCTCCTAAGAAATATCACAGCAACATTTGGGGAATTTGGTGTTATTTTTATTTTTATTTTATTTTTATTATTTTGCATCTTCAGAACTCCTCACAGAAGGGAATGGCTTGACTGAGTTTAGTGATCACGTTCTCCATCCTAAACCCAACAAAAATTCATTTTAGGGACAGAAACGATGCAATCTAATATTTGAAGTGAGCAATCCAAGATTTTACAGCAAATCTGGGGCAGCACCAATTATCAGGTTTTTCCAGCTCACAGATTGCTGTCTCTAATTGCCAAAATAATGATAATTAGTAATTTAATACCAGGAAATCTCTAACTGCCTGGATACCTGAATGGGCACAGACACATCAAAAATCACATTTGGAGTGAAAAATCCTGGCCCCTCTCCTACCTTGGACCTCCAGCATCACTTCCCAGCAGGAGGGATTGTTATTTCAAGGACTTTTATCAAGGCTTAATGAGAATATTATGAAATTTTGAGTTTAAATCTGGCTGACACGTTTTCCACTTGAATTTTAGCCAGTTCATATGAACACAATCATTAAATAAGGGTTAATTACAAGGGGCTCAGGAGCAAAATGTAAAGGGATTTTTTTCTTTTAGGTTGGTTTATTTATTTTAGTTTCTTACCTCCTCTTGATCCAACATTTGCTGCTTTAATTTTTCAGCCAACTGGCTCTGCTGGTTGATTTCATCATCCTGC